TGGCACCATTTTCTTTTTAATTAAAAAATAATGAAAACTCAAAAATATTCTTGTTCTATTTCTAACTTAATTCTTTTTATTCTTCACCAATTATATTGGAAAAATAGAATAAAACAAGTAAATAAAAATTAAAAATTATAATTAAAATTAATGGTGTCCCATGAGTAGCGCACCGTGAGTACGATAGCTGATTGTATTAGCCGCTAGCATGCAAATAAAAACAAAATTCGAACGTTGGATTTTTTTCAAAACCTAATAGTTATTTAAGAAAATTTAAATGATATGATCTTAAGATAAAATATCAAATTGGTGAATGCCATCTTGTTTATTAATATTTTTCTATCTACAAAAATTTCAACTTATTTTAAGTTTTATGTTTTGTAAGAAACGGGGAAAAAACGGGGGGTGCGGTCCAACGCAGATGAAGCGCATCAAGACAGGAAAAGTCTAGATGAAGCTCAAGTGATGTTCCATCCCAAAACCAATTGGTGGAAGGAGGAGTAGCCCAATAGACTTATAAATTAGACCTATCTTTCTTACATAAACAGTGTGAGACAACTCACAAGTGAATATTCTAATATATTCGTAATCAACGACCCGATTTTAATTTTAATTACAATCGTTTCCGTTTGAACGAAACTAAAGAAAATAAAATATTTTATTATACTAATTTTCAACGACAAAACGTTAGGATGGAAGAAAATGAAAAACTTAAACTTAAACTATTTTTTCCCTAGTCAAGTAAAAAGAAGGATGCATATATGTTATTTTTCTTATAATAGGAAAAGGAAAAAAAATAAAAAACAAATAAAGAAGAAAAAAAAAAAAGGTGCAAAGAGGTGATGCTTGAATATTAGTCCAACCACTTTCTAGTGATCTAACAAACATGGGTCATACACCAAGCATATATGCAAAATCTCATGAACTTAAAAACATCCCATTTAAAGAAATATGAAGAAAATGAACTTATAGAACCTTGACACTATGTAGTGCCTTGACACTGAAAATGACAACAATTGGACCAAAGAAAAGTTTTATAATAGTTAATTTAACCATATAAAATATTAAAAGAACAAATGAAATTTATTTTTTTTTTATTTTAAATTGATAAAGACACTAAGTCATCGTTTATTTGAAAGGATGTGATGTGATAGGATGATTAATCCCACGAGTCAGCTTTTGTCCCGTGAGTCAGTTTACTAAATTTGCAAATATATGGACATTTAAGAGTATAATTGACATTATACATGTGGTTTTTTTTGGACAAAAGGGTTATTTTCGTGTTGGGATAAAAATATCACACCCTCAAGTTGTGATAGAATTATCCTGTCAGTACTCATGGTACATACGTGTGTCCACCTGCCAAATACATGACACATAGGATTTATCTAAATCCCAATCCCTACAAGTAAACACATCTACGATGGGTTAAAAAATGTTATCACTTCCTATCCTGGTAAGTA